TTTGTAACCAGAGCTTGAAAAATAATTTTCTAAAATTAATTAGTTCTTGTTACTTTCTGCATTGTTTGATCAGTAGCCTGTTGCATTGCTTGTTGCAGTGTTGGAAAAGAAACTTGTTAACATTACTTGTAACATTGCTTGTTACTTTTCTATTAAATTTTGAGGGTAAAACCCTTAGGATTGAAAAGACACAAAACTTTACAATTTTTCCCCGACTGCTTCTAACAATGTTTTAAAAGCAATGTTTAAAAGTAATTAAAAGTACTTTAATAAACATTAAATATTAACAGACATTATTCATTATGAGGGGTGAGCAAAATGTGAATCTCCAAGTTTTGCTGGACTCCAGCTCCCAGAATTCCACATTATTAGCTACACTGGCTAGAAATGCTAGAAGTCACAGTCCCACACCAGTTGCGGGGGAGGGGGGCTGCACTTCACCCACACCTGCATTACTACTTCTCTCTTATTTTTTACATTTCTTTTGAAATGTATCTTACTTATACCTTTGTTGTTTTAAAAAGCACCTAGGAAAATCAACTTGTGCCTCATTACTCCAAGCTCTTCTTTTCACCAACAAGAGGACTATTTGTTCCCTTTTGTTTGATGAGCCAGATCTCACTTTGAAAATCATTGGCAAGTCTTTCTTCAGGAAAAGTGGAAATAGGACCTGAGTGCAACTGTGTGATGTTTTTTCCCCTAATTAATCTGCAGGACCTCAGTCCCCTGCTTCTTCTTTAACATCTGGGCAAGAAAAAAGTGGAACAAAATATAACTGGGACCCTTCAGTGTATGACAATGAATTGCCTGTGCGGTGCCGAAATATCAGCGGGATCCTGTACAAAAACAGACTTGGCTCAGGTGCAGAGTTTCCTCCTCTTCTTTTATTCTGTGGGGTGGGATTAGTAATCTAATCTCAAGATTTCAGAAAAAAAACAGTGAGCAGTGTTTTCCCTATTTATATGGCTGTGACTGTGGCAGGTCAGAATATGTGGAAATTGGAAAATGTGGTTTTGAAAATTGTAGTCCAGAATGTGACTTTTCCAAACTCTCAAAGAAATAGCCATTTTTAGTCTCTTGCAGCATAAAAAAGAGGAAAGAAGGGGGAGGGGAAAAAAGGAAATGTGGCAACACCTTTAAGACTAATTGGTTTTTATTTTAGCATGAGTGTAAATGGATATAAGTCCACTTCTTCAGATACAATAGCACCTGGTTACCACTCAGTAGTACATCCAAAAAAGTGTGTTTACTATGCGAAAATGGAGACTTGCCGATATTTGAGCCCCATAGGCTTGAATAGGGCATGCCTCTGTGGGTGTGTGCAGGCACACACCCACAGGGACATGGCCCATTGATCTTAACTGAGTTCACCCCTCCATGAATATTCAAAACCTTGGATCTCAAGTCCGTGCAAGCAGAGGGGCAACTGTATATACTCTTGTATAAGTCTAGAAATTTAGGTAAAATTGACTCCAAAAACCTGAGTCGACTTATCCATGGGTCAACGTAAGTACTCTACTTTAACTTTTATTTTTTAAAAAGGAACCATCCGCTGGTGAAAGGCAAGAGCATAATCTGTCCTGGAAGCAATGATCCCACTCTATCCTCTCATCCATCCAACCCAATTTTACTCTGAGCACAAACAATTATGCCTGTTAGAATTTTGTTCTTTGGCATTGTTTTCCTTTGCTTTGTTCTTTACATCCTTTGTTACATGCCCCTAAGTTTTACCCTCAACTTATCCATGGGTCATATCAAAATCCATCATTTTGGCGCCAAAATCTGCCCTCGACTGATACATGAGGTCGAATTATAGTCGAGTATATATGGTATATCCATGAAGGCTCATGTAGAAATGAAAACCAATTAGTCTTAAAGATGCTGCTATATTTCCTTTCCCCCTCTTCCTTCCTTCCTTCCTTCCTTCCTTCCTTCCTTCCTTATTTTCCAAACTCTGAGAGTATGTTTGCTATAGAACCTGTGCTTACTCAGTCCCAGTTTTGTGGCAGATAATGTAGTATCAGTGCATGGTTAATGATGTTGCATAATCAGAATTTCCTGACCATCCTCACCTTTGCAGCCTCTGTGTGGCCTACAGTTCCTCTCCTGGGGGCCTCAGGAAGAGATACTTCAGAGAGAGGAGGAGCTTGCAGGAGTATTACATTTTATAACCCATGTTATCCACCAAGAGCTATCTGAATATTAGTTGAAAGCCTTTCTGAGCTCCAGCTCCACGTCTCGGCTTTTTGGCTTGATCTCATGTGAGAGTGTTGCATTCCCAAAATTACAGTTCTTGTTTCTGCAACTGACAGGGCTATTGGTTATCTTGAAGTAGGCTGGTGGCCCATAAGAAACTCTTTCATGGATTGAATACTTTCTGCTCACATAGCATCTTATGCCTAGACATGAGCAGGAAAAGGAGAGCAGTGCTAAGGAACTGAGTATAGCTATGTGGGCAAAGGGAGATGCTGGAAAATGCATTTATTATTATATATCCAGCTGTAGGAACATATCCAGATGCTTCTTGACTGTTCTCCCCAGCCACTAAATGATGTGTTGTGGTGGGTGAAGGAGGAAGATGTGTTTTCTATGCAGGGAGAGGAAGACAGAGCAGAGTTGGGTCTGGCAGAACATTACGGTCTGTGGACAGTACAGAATCTTAGCCTTCTTGGCTGGGATTGGTGCTAAAGGGAACATTTCTTGTTACACTTGCAAACTGAATCCAACATGTTTGAATAGCAACAGTGCATTGAGAAAGAGAACTGTTTAGAAACTCAGGCTACTGTTTGTACAGTTCCACCTTCTAATGGAGATTGCTGTCCAAGTGCATATTAACTGAAATTAGTTTGTTCTTTCCAGTTCAGTGTTTGTCAACCAGTGACAAACCCTTGCTCTAGTTTCAGGTGAATAACATTTGCTCAAATTTTTTAGACTACATCTTTCTGAATTGTTTATCACTAGCTATTTTTGATAGTACTGTTGAGAGCTGAAGTTCCAAATACCTGGATTGTTAAAGGTCCACTGCCTCTGCTCTATGCCACACTTCCCTGATCTGGGTTCCTCCCCATGTTTTCAACTGCTGCTTTTGCCATTCATGACTATTGGCCATGCAGAGTTGGGCTAATGGATATTGTCCAAAGCTTGTACAGAGGCCCAAAATGGAAAATTTCCATTGGTTCCTAATCTCTTAGTTTTGCCCTGTTCAAGGTGGTCGAGGACGGTGCATTAAGCAAGGAGACAGCTGGTACAGCCCCACTGAGTTCGAAGCCATGGCCGGAAGAGCAAGCAGCAAGGACTGGAAGAGAAGCATCCGCTATGCTGGGAGGCCAATACAGTGCCTTATTCATGTAAGACACGATCCTCCCCTCCTTTTCCCTTCCTCTATGCAGATTGGAAAGTATCACTGGAGGTGCAGAAGAATAACATAGTGGAATTCCTTTCTAAGCTCAAGAGTTTTAATGGCTTAACTTTATCCAAATTTGTTCAGTACTACTGAGTTCTGTCGGACTTACTTGTAGGCAAGTGTGCATGGAATGACAGCATTAGAGAGAACATGAAATAGTACAATGAGAAATGGTAATGTTCAGAAAAGAAGGGAACTCCAGGTAGAGGTACTCAGTAGGTCATTTCCCAAGGGTTGGGGGAAAATTTATAGCTTATTTCCTCCAGAAGCTCCACAGTTGACCTAGAAAAATGGACAGGAGAGGCAAAGAATTTGCTATCAACCAGCTCACACCATCCTACTTCTGTATTTGTTTTAATACAGTTGTCCCTCCATTTTTGTGGGGGGGGGGATCCATTCTGGAACCCCCTGCGAAAATGGAAATCTGCAAATATTCAAGGCCATTTTAACCTTCCCTGCTTCCCGGTCCATGAGGGACCAAAACCACAGACCCAAAGTCTGCAAAAATAGAGGGATGAGTGTAAGATAAAATGCCTTTAGGGTTCTTGAGTGAAAAACGCTCCTTTTAAAATGTTTTGTAACATTTTGTGATATTTGGTTACTTTATGTAACCATTAGTTTTACAATGGGGCTATACAGACCGGCAAGAAGCACCGGCGTGGGGGTGTGGCGACTGCATAGATACGCTATGACTCTGCCCCAATACTGGTGTCATGTCTCCTGCCCGCCCTCATGGTGGACAGTGTTACAGCGCTCCTTTGACATGGCGTTCAGATGCCACACACCAAAAGGAGCGCTGAAAAGTACTGCTGCGGTGGCAAGGGCACCCTTTCTCCACTCTCAAGAGGCAGCATTTTGCTGCTTTTTTGGGGGCCAGAAAAATGCTGGATCAGGACCGTGGCATGCAGTTGTCACAGCCCCAATCTGATGCTCAAAGTGGTGGCGCAGAGTCACTCCTTCAGGGTGGTCTGCTACACCCCAATGTCTCTTTGTTTCTGCTTGAAGCCTACAAGGAGCAAAAAAGATTAAATCAGGAGCTGATGTTTTTGCCACCTGATTCTATCTGTCTTCTACCAAGGAACTCAGGGCAGTTAAAACAGCCCTGTGAAGTAGATCAGGCTAAGAGAGAGTGATTGTTCTGAATTATCCAGTGAGATTCATTGCTCAACAGATATTTGAAACCCAAACACCCCAAGGGATTGCATCTTGTTATGTCTCCAGCATTAGGAGCTGGGGAAACAAGGGATTGTACCTTGTTATGTCTCCAGCATTAGGAGCTGTTGTTCTATAAGCCTCCAATGAGGGTGCAAACTCTTTGCTGTTCTGGTTCAGCCCAGCTTCTATTGCTTGCAGGAATGGGAAATTCTTCCCCTTGAACTGGCATGGAAAAGTCTAAGATCCCATGTTCTGTACAGTAGAGCATAGAATGTGAATGTTGTTGTTGCTGTGTGTCTTCATGTCATTTCCAGCTTATGGGTACCATAAGCTGAACCTATCACAGGGTTTTCTTGGCAAGATTTGTTCAAGGGTGGGTTGCCATTGCCTTCCTCTGCAGCTGACAAAGTGTGACTTGTCCAAGGTCACCCAGTGAGTTTCATGGCTGAGCAGGGACTCAAACCCTGTTCTCCAGAGTTGTAGTCCAACACATAAACCACTACACCATACTGACTCATAGAATGTGTATCTTGGCATATATAGAAGTAGAATTTTCCCTCCAATGCTCTTCCTTTCCCCCCAATTCAGGACGGGATATTAAATCCTCATGCTGCCTCATGCACCTGTGCTGCTTGTTGTGATGACATGAGTCTGGTGAGTGTGCAGCTGCTGAGCTGAACTACCACAAGTTGAAGTTATGAGCATCTCCGGAAATGAAGAATACAGTGGGCTGGAGAATGCTGTAATTACTAGAGAACTGAAACTAGGTGGGGGAGAGAATCACATGACCACTGATGGTTGACACTCAAAGACTTTTTTATGGTTGTTACAGCTGAGGTTTTGGGTGGGAGAAGAATTAAGAATATTAAAGAGGTAATTTATATTTTTATATATCAATTTATTTATTAAAATATTTATGTCCCACCTTCAGGGCAGGGTGCAAGTAAAATTGATGCTTTGTTTACAAATATACGCCCCACTGATTATTTTTTTAAAATATATGTTTCAGGACTCTAGGTTAGGGAAGGGGCAGATAAGGCTCCAAATATTAATAAACTATACTTTCCATATTCCTTACCATTGTTTTTCTGTTTGAGACCGATGGGAAATGAGAATCCACTTTGTGGACCACATGTTCCCTGGCTTCATTCTGGATAGTTATAAATTCTTTGTGCCATTTGAATGAATTAACTACTCTGTGAAATATTCAGCAATCTGTTCAGAGACACACCTTAATTATAACCATGTTCTAATTAATTTTATTATGTTTCTTAAAGTTTAGTAGAAATGAGATAAGGAGAATTTCTAAAGGAGTTTTGCCATAGAGTGTGGAGGCAGCAACAGAAAAAACCCTGTGCTCTGAGTATTATGCAGCTAAATATACTAATAATTGTAAGCTGCTCTTCTCATCAAGAGCTGTCCAGAAGGAAAGAGTATGTCATCCTTTGAAAATTCTTCCAAATTTGTTAGATTTAGATTTCTTTAGATTTTAGATTTTAAAAAGTTGTGATTCCTTTAAAAATACATTAGTCTTTGTGGACTGTTTATGGCAGTTATTGTGCATGAAACAGGATATCAAAATTATCTTTTTAAAATGCAGTCACACCAAATGAAAATAGTTTGAACCACAGTAGCAGTAATTTAAGAGGTGTCCTGTGTGACTCAGGAGTAACAGTGCACATCGAATAGCAGTATAAACTGTCATCCAATAATAATTGCTATTGTCATCCTATAGCAGTATAAATTTCCCACTGCGAAATTAAACTGTTTTGGAAGTGGGGAAATGTTGCATCTGAAAACTTGTCTGGTAGCCTAGCCTACTTTGTTTCATATCAGTGTGGTGGACTGAAGACTAGTGCAACTATGATAGGGTAAAATGTTCTCTTTGGTTTTGTGAAAGGCCTTGTATTAAGATAAAAGTACAGAATAAGGATTTGATTGTGGCAGTTTGGTGAAACAATTGATTAAGTTAAAGAAATCCTAGCAGTATGCTATCTCATGTCAGCTTTATAAGAATTTAATTTTATGCCAATTAGGATGGACAAATATTCTCCAGGTCCAAGTCAGTAGGAACAGTCATGGCTATTGTAAAGAAACACCAACAGTGGTTGTTTTCTGTATCTCAGAGTGGGCCTGTAAGACTGTTTGTTCCCTATAAAAGAAGGAAGAAAGAAAATGAATTGCCTACGACTCCAGTGAAGAAGGATTCTCCCAAGAACATTACTCTCCTACCAGGAACTGCTGCTACTACATGTAGGTCATTCTTAGAAGAAATAACATTGTCAAATTAATCTCAATACTCATTTACGATTTTTATTTTATTTTTCTTTATAAGTTTGACGTATGGGCTGCAAATAGGTCCCAACATGGCCACATTCCCATTATTTTTAACTGAAGGAGTCCCCTCATGGCCTCTTGGGGCTATGTGAGACAGTTTCAGGAGGGTATTGGCACTTTCCAGAGCTGCTTTTTCAAAATGGGAAGTATATTTCTTCTTTGTGGTCTCTGTGAATCACACAAATGGGTTATATCTGTGCTGCACAGCTAGCTCGCTCTGGGCTCTTCAACAAAGAGTCTGTTACAATAAGTGGTTTTGATTGAGTTTTGATATCAAGATCCCTTTGGATCTCTATCAGAAGCCCTAGGCTGGAAAGGGCCTCCATCACCATGGGCTCAAGGCGAGCACATCACGTAGGCACTAAGGTGAATCTGCATTTACAAGCCATTTGCAGATCAAAAGGCCAGGCTTAGGAGCTGCAATGCAGGACATTCACACCTGAAAAGATTTATGAGCCAGTCAGGATGTGTCCTTAAGGTGAGGAAAAGTAAAAAACCTACATCCTATCTCCCCTCTTCTGGAAATTGTCCACTTCCAAAGCATAGCAATTGGAATCCTTTGATGTTCAATAGCAACTCTTCGCTTCTAGGGTTTAAATACTCCCCAAAATCTCAGGGAAAAGGAGGGTCTGGATAGATTTCATGACGGTCCTGTACCATTCATGATCTCTAGCTAGAGTCTCCGGCTCTACCTACTGTTCTTTTCGGTTGAGTCTATTCATCGTTGGAGCAACATCTTTGCAGGTAATTATCACCATTAGAAAGCCTTGTGTTCCTATCCAAGCTAACTACTTTACTCCTCAGTTCTTGTGTGTGTGCATGTATGTTAGGGTGTCTTTGTATGCTTGAATCCTCAAAGCTTTGTTTCTATATCAGTCTCTTCTCTAGCCACCTCTGTAAACATAGGATAAAAGATCCCATAGAAGACTTGGACTTTAGTAATTCCCCAGGCTCAGAGTCTTCTCATTACAAGATGGACAAGAAGTTAAACTTTAGGTACTGTATGAAGGTGGCAGCCAAGACACACGACATGTCCTTGTCCACCTTCCAATCTCCCAGATGCCGGTTTGGAGGCCACAGACCATGGTTCCAGCCCTACCACCAGCAGGCTTACCAGCAATCAGACCATCAACCTCAACCCCAAGGTCAGTCCCGTCAGTGCCATCCCTCTCAGTCTTCCTCTTCATCTTTGGGCCGCTGTCAGCATCAACCTTGATACTGGCAAGACTTCAGAAAGAGGGCCTCTGTTTCTGGCAAGAGGAGGGTTGTGATGTGGGGTGGCCCACTTTGGCGAGCATCCCTTTGGGGAC